AATTTTCTGGAACTGAGGATCTTCATACTAAAAGAAGGTAGTTTTACCTAACATAAATCATTCATCCCACATAGAAATAACCACAGAGTGTTGAATATGCTGAGTGTGTGATGGTCTGGGCATCTTGACTGTTGAATTGATCACACTGAGAGCCACCTACAAGGTTGATTAAAGCCTGTATTTGTGTTTGTGAGGATGCTTCCAGAAGCAGTGAGATCTGGGGTGCTCTGATCTGAGAAATGGTTTAATCTGTTGTTGGATTCCAAATTTGAACAACCTATTGGCCACCTGTAAAACTGTAGGAGGTGAGAGCTGGTTGGAGGAAGCAGGTCATTGGCTGTGCCTTTGAAGAGTGTGTCTTCCACTGTTCCTCCCTTCCAGCCACAGGAAGTGAGCAGCTTCAATCTGCCTTGCGTTGCCTGCTGATTTTCTGCCTACCCACAGCTCAGAAACACTAGTCTAGTGACCGTGGACCCAGACTTTGGAGACTGAGGAAATCTTTAAGTTGGTCTTCTTGTTTTTCTTTTTTTCCACAGCAGCATACACCTGACTAATCCAGTGGGTACTGGGGAGATCCTAATTCTCCTCAGAGTGAGGAAGGAAAATGAGTGTGGTGGCACAGCTAAGCACAGTTTACTCAGCCTGGAAGTAAACTAAGTGTAGAGACATGAAGGGTAGGGCATGACTGCATATCTGAGACTCTTTGGTAGCACTACCACCAGTGAACCAAAACCAACGTGGCTGTAAGTGGACAGGAAACAGACAAAGATGCAGTGACTGAGTTGCAGCATGTTCACTCTTGGGTTTCTAAGATGTGATTTAGCTTTGCTATTGCTGTTGTGACCCTTGTCAACAGATGGCTTTTTAAAACACAGTTATTATCTCACAGTTTCAGAAGTAAGAAGTTTGACTTTGTCTCCAAAAGTAAAACTTCAAATGGCCATAGGGCTACATTCCTCCTGAAGCTTTTTTGAGGGTAAAGGACCATTATCTTGCTTTTCCCTGCTTCTGGAAGCTCTTTTCTTGTCTTTCCTAGTGGCCAATTTTTGTCTTCAAAATTCATTGAGTTCTTTGTGTATCAAATAACAAACACAGCTGTTTCCCATCGCCCTCTGTTGCTTTCAGGGACTCTGTTAACGTTTGGTGTCCTTCCACCAGCTCCCAGGAGTCTCCTTGTTGAGGGATAAGTGAATCATCATCTTTCATGGCCCATTTGCACTGCTATATAAAATATTCACAGATTCTGGGATTAGGGGCATTTTTTTCTGTCTATCATGAGCATAGTAAAGATGCTGGGCTAAACTCAAAGAATAATTGGAAACTACCCATTTCTGTTATAGTGGAACCATGCTGGGCTGCATTAGGTTTAGGAAGCTCTCTGGTAATGTGTGGGGTTGAGCAAGCAGTATCTTAGTTTCTTATAGCTGTAGCAGAATGACTGAGAATGAACAAATTATAAAGGATGCACACATCCATGGCTCATGGTTCTGGGGGCTGAGAAGACCAAGAGTACTGTTTGTAAGAGACCTCCTTCTGTGTCATGAAATGACAAAGTGCATCATAGAGTGAGATGCCAAGACAAAGAGACCCTCCTCCCTTAACAACCTATTAATTCATGAAAGCATGGATGGTTTGATCATTTCATGTGGGGATGATCTTATTACTCAATCACTTCCCAAAGTCTCACTTCTAAATGCCATTCATAGTTGACTTTGGGAATTACAATTCCAACATTTGAGTTATATGAGGCAACACAATTACCCCATGATTACCTATGAGGTTGGTACAATGAAGATGATACATGTAAATGAATTCTGGCTCCATCTCCACACCTCATGCTAGCCCTGGTAGTCATCTCATGCTCCTGGCATCTCCAGTATTCTGAGATCTATGCTGAAACCAACTGATAACCACCCCTGGGTTTATCTTCAGTGACTGTGGCTATTCTACATGGCGACAAGGCTCAACTTTTTTCTGTGGATCCTTCAGCCCTGGGGTTTCTACTGCACCTGAGGTTTCACCTTCACCAGTGTCCTCTCCTGGCCTCTCACAGTTTCAAGCTTCAGCCTCTTCCCATGACCCCTTTAAAGCCTCCTGTTCTTATTCCACCCAAACCAGTAACACAAAGGAGACTCTTACACATTACCAAGTTAGGCTGTCAGTATGAGTGGCCGCACTGGTTCCCCCAGGATCACAGTCTGTGTGCTGACCCTAAGAAAATACTCCCAGAAGACTTCACCTCAATGGTGCTGCTCTCTTCTCAATCACAACTGATTGATCAGTCCCAGCTGACCAGCATTAATTGTCCCATGAGCCAAAGTTTCACCTCAGTGCCAAGTCTTCAGCTCCATTGGACAAAACCCCCAGATTCTTCATTCACAATACCACCCAAATGGCCCTGCTAGAGTCTTTGGAGAACTCTCCAACTTCCCTTTGAAACTTGAGACAAAGCAGGCCTTCATAGTCTGTATTGCTCTCACCGTTGACTCCCTAGCTCCCACACAACAGCCCACTAAGCTCTAAGCACCTAATGGCTTTCCCTGCCCAAAGTTCCAAATTCCTTCCACAATCCTCTTAAAAGTAACATGGTCAGATCTGTCATAAACAATACTTTTGGTACCAATTTTGGTTCCAGTTTGCTTTCTATTACTGTGATAAAGATCATGACCAAAAGCAACTTGGGAAGGAACAGATTTATTTTACCCCACAGATTATATTCTGTCATTTAGGAAAGTCAGGGCAGTAACTCAAGGCAGGAACCTGGAGGCAGGAGCTGATGCAGAAGCCATGGAGCTTTCCCTCCTATTGGCTGCCTCCTTCAGACTAACTCTGCTTGCTTCCTTACATAGTTCAAGACTACCAACTGAGATGTGGTACCAGACACACTGGGCTGGACCCTCCCCCATCCATCATTACTTAAGAAAATGTTCCCATAGGCTAATCTGATGGGTCTTTTTCTCAATTGTGCTTCCAAACTGACACTGCTGTGTCAAGTTGACGAAAAACTAACCATCATGGGGGCCTTGGAGAATTGGGTGGTCCTTAGGAAGGATTTCTCCTACTCCAGGATGAAGCCTTGCCATCATAGATAATTGGTCTCATCTTGGGGTGCAGTTCTGCCCTTTCTTTTCTTTTCTTTTTTTTTTTGGTTTTATGAGACAGGGTTTCTCTGTATTGTTTTGGAAGTTGTCGGTCCAACCCGGCCTTAAACTCACAGAGATCCGCCTGCCTCTGCCTCCCGAGTGCTAGGATTAAAGGTGTGCGCCACCACCGCCCGGCTCTTTCTAGCATATAATATGATGGCTGTTTTGGAACATTGACTTGTCTCTGTGCTTTCATCCTTGAAAGAGGATGAGATGGCTTCAGTAGACACTCTTCAGTGATTAACATGCCTATGTAAAGCTGGAGTCTAACCCAAAGTTCAGGAGATAGGCATAAAATAAAAGCAAAACACAAATATGTTTCATTCTGTTTTTAGTTTTCCTCGAGAGCAGTCACTGCTTTGAGCAAATGCACTTCCTAAATCATTCTGCAAAGGGCAGGCTTGAGACATTGGAGTAAGGGACGCTTAGGTAGAATTTGCCTTTCTCAAGTGGCCTCACAGCAAATACCCAGTAGGGGGAAAGGTACATGCGGTAAGAGGTCAGAACACACACCCCATTCGTCTCCTCCAGGAACAGCATTGTTCCTCCCAGTGCATTCAGGAGACGTGTTCGGTGGTTGATAAATCTCCCCTGTGCATATCTTCCAATTCAGAGATAGGAACCTTATCAAGGTTGCTTCTGTTATGTGCCACTCGTGGGGCCAGTCTATGCTAATCACTTTGACATTTCCTATTCACTCAGCGTGAGAGGAATGCTTTAGCCTGCATTGATGGGGGCATGTGTTTCTAATGAGAAATCTGATGAAGCCAGGTGTCTTGAATACAGAGTACCTGTGAACTGTGGCAGCCTTCGCATTCCTTGAAGCTGTTCTCTTCCCTTTTGGGTTTAGATGTGGAATGGCTCCTCGTAGTAGTGATTTGTAGCTGATAAAGATTTTGCTTTTAAATCCATCAAAAGTGACATTTTGAAGTGGGCAGATGAGGGAAGAAAGACATGAGTTTCTTGGTCTCTCTCCAGGTCTCACCATTCTCTTCCACTCCGCTTTGCACAAAAGATCATCTCATAAGAAATTCAGGGCAAAAAATGTCTTTTCATTTTTATTCCCGTTTTCTGACATTCTTACTCTTAAAGTTATTATTAGTGGTGCAAACTCTAGCTATTAGGGAATGTGAGTCCTGCCCTGTTCTGGTCTATTCCATTATCATTTGAATACACCACCTACTGCTCCTCCTAAGACCTTCTCAATAGAGGATTCTTAGTAGACATTTCCCCCTAAATTAAGTTTAGTAGCTATCAAAGCAGAATGGCTTGGGGGTGAGAGGGGGGGCTCTCCACACTGAAGCAAAGTGGGACTTTTAATAATTATGTGGATATTTTAGCATCCCGAAATCACTCCAAAATGGAAGTGTATTTCCTGTTCTCCCATTCTTCTGTCCCCTTTATATTTCTAATGAGTTACATTTGCAAGTGTCCTCTTCCTCCTAAGAGGCCCTTGTTTTTTGCTGGTTATGGAGATGGGGAGCAGTGAGTTCTTAAAGGACTTTCTTAAAATGCTAGTTATTTCTAAAATGAACAGGAATGCATGGAAACCTATAGGCTACCTTTTAAAGCAGGATGCACAGTATTCTTTGGACAGGACTGGACGCTGTTACTGGGCATTTCAAGCCATTGATTCTCGATTTTCCCGGCGTAAGATTCCTTTGGAGTGAGGGTGACTCTGAACCTTGGCTTTGTCACTATGAATAAGAATCACAGTCCCTCAAGAGACAAAGTCAGTTTTTCTCACAAATGTCAGCCAACCACATTTTTATTTCATCAGGGGAGACACTGCTGGACCCATTGTGGTTGCCATGACAGATCCTTTGTTGTGTGTTCACAAGTATGTGTGTCTTGCAGGAAGAGAGGAGTAACTCTGGGTGCCATTCTGAAGGCTCTGTGAGCCCCAGGGAAGCACTTGTTTCCACATCCCAACCCTGGAATTACAAGCATGCGCCATCACACTTGACTCTTGCATGTGGGCTGGTGTTGAACTCAGGTCTTCATACTTGCAAGGTAAGCCCTTTCCCATTGAACTCTCTCCATGTGGTTAGTCAGGACTGTAGCATTTTGTAAATCTCCTTCATTAGCTTGTCTTTGCTGTGGGCTAGCCCTCCCCACCTTCATTATTGCTTCTGCATACAGGCCCAAGAATCAGAGACAGCCTGACTGAGCTAGCATCATGAACCACCTGTCAATTATGTACTGTGGTCTCTGTCTATAAATCATATGAAAATATGATTTAAGAAGAGACTCTCACTCTGTGGTATTGATTCCTCCTTAGAGCACCCACCATGTTACATCTGTCTGTGAATCTGTGACATTAATGGTTGTTCTAATAAACTTCTTATCCCCAAGAGATAACCTTCCTCAGTATCCCCCTTGAACATCAAACTCCTACTACCTTTCACTTATATCTAATTATCTGTTATTTCTCACTTCTTTTCACTCATGTTCCTGAGACTGGTGATATGAACATGGGGACTCCTCACCACCACACACAGACACATAAACACATACATATGTACCTGCAGAAAGATATTTTTTGGCATAAAAGTTTGTTATGAGGTTGGTGTTCCCAAGGAAGCTTGTTTGGAATTGGCTATAGACCACTGTATACTAGTCTGGAACTAGTGAACAGGGCAGGGGGCATGGTGGTTAGAATGACGGTATGTGGGTTTCAGACATTGACATTCCAGATGTGGCACCTTGACATTCTGAGAGCATGTTTGGCAGTAGAAAAACCAGGATCTATCTGAACTGGGCTCTTCTTAAGCCCTCCATCCTTCCTTCTCCTGTAGAGAACAAGAAAGGTTCTCTTTCCTTAGTCAGCCTACCTACCCAAATGTTGGTTCCACACTTGTGTCCAACCTTTGGACCATGTGACACGACATCATCTATAAAAGTCATGCTCAACAGTCACACAATTGAGTTAGCAACACCCCCCTCAAAAAGCATATAATGAGTAAGTATATAATTTTGTGTAGGGAAACATTCATAGCTGTTCTTGGCCACAGGTTAGTCACACTTGCAAGATTAAGTTACAGGAAGTAGGTCTGTCTGTAGTTGTCATCACAGCCAGTGCCCTCCCAGCTTTCTCAAGCTGCCTTACTATTTCTCTAAATTGCCTTTCTCTTACTAGAAAAGAGGATGGGCAAGCTTTCACATCCTCCTGGGTGCTGTCTCCTTCATAGCTCATTGTCACAATAAACTTGGGTGCCTTTTCTCCTGCCAGTCTTCCTGTTGTTATATATTCCAGCACAGTCAATTAGGGAACCTTTCTAGGTAGAAGGATGGTTCCCTCTGGCTTTACAGGTGAGAGCTGCCATTTAATGCTTTCTTTCAAGGAGACGAGGGCTCTTTGGGGAAGTTGCTGAGCTGAGCAGTTGAAACACTTGGATGTGGAAGTATCTGGGCCGCTAGTTCCTTGAATAGTGTAGTTCTATGTTGAGAACTGTACTGGGGTCATAGACTCAAGAGTTGTTCTGATGGCCAAAGACAATTCTGGTTCTTACATGTCACTGTTTACCTTATCATTGTTATCTAGAATGGCTGTTGAGGGCTTAGTGTGTGCCTTAGTGTGAACACTGATTAATTCTGATGATACAGCAGCTGGGGAGAACAAGCTTGTTCCTTTCTCCTCATTCAGGTGGCAGTGTACCCTAAGAATCTGACCCTAAACGATTGGCTTAGGGAGTTAATCACTAACTGAATAAATCATTCTCCTTGCTGTGACCTGGTGATGTAAGTTAGATGGATCTCCACTTGGTCTAGGGGTTTCTAGAAAGAAAATCTTGTGAGACCAAGGAGATGGTTTAGTGGGTAAAGTGCATGCCGTACCAGCCTGATGACTGGGGTTTGGATCCCCAGAACCTATGCAAAAGCTGAACACAGGTCCAACATCTGTAATCCCAGAGTTCCTGTGATGAGATGGGAGATGGACACAGAGGAACCCTTGAAAGTCCTCAAGCCAGCTAGCCTGCAGTATGCAACGGTCAGTAGTAAAAGATACTGTCTCAAACAAAGATGAAGGCAAAGACTGACAAGAGAGGTTGTTGTCTGACCTCTAGACATGCACTACTGCATAAGCAATTTCCCAACATACATAAAACAAAAAACAAAAAGATTTTCTTTAAAAAGGTATTTTTTAAAAAGTTTCTTGCATGTGTATAGTTGCTAGCTGGATACTGGATGCCATGACTAAGTTATGTGAAGGTGACTGTAATAAATCTTAAAAGCAAGGAGACACAAAATGTCCCTGTATAGGAATAAATATTAGAACCTTATATGCATACACAAATTGACACAAGTAATAACCTAAGATATATTCACAGTACACAATGTCAGTGTTCAGAATCATCAAAGTTGACAGACTCTACCAGTGATGACTTGGCCATTCCTCTAACTAAACAGCAGTTGTTTATTGAAGGAATGAGTGACTGTTGAAATAATTGGCACTGCTTAGTTCCTCAGTGACCTCCAGTGGCTCATTTGCTTATGCAAAGCGTGTAGAAGCTAGACAGAGGGCAAGATTGCCTTCCAACTTAGCCCACTTCAAGAATGCGAGGAAGCAAGGAAGCAGGTAGAATGTGCCTTTGCGTGAGATATGGCCACGCCAGAGGAGCAGGTAGAGATGAACCATAGCGCTGCTATCGGCAGAACAATTTAAGTCATTTTAATTTGGGAGCAAGGGAAGGAGACAGAAAGAGAGAGAGGGAGAAAGGGAGGGAGGAAGGGAAGAGAGAGAGAGAGAGAGAGAGAGAGAGAGAGAGAGAGAGAGAGAGAGAGAGAGAGAGAGAGAGAAAACATCTTTAAGATAAAGGTCCCTGTGGTTGAAAGTATTTGCTCTTTTCTCGAGCACTGTCAAAGATAAGGTGGCCGTGTATTGAAATATAGGCCATGCACAGGGTGGGGGAGTGAGGGTCTCATTTCATTTCCTGGGCTCAGATTCTCACATCATCCTTCAAATGCTGTGCAGACTTGGCCCAGTGTTTAACTCCTTCCTGACCGGATGATATATCAACACCAGCTATTTCTTGGTGGGGAGGACTTAGAACCGAGTTGTACAGGCAGTGTTTTATATGATGGGCAGAGCTCTTTTGTCAAGTAGAGGTATAGTAAATAACCTTAATAAAGTTATTTGTTCATGGAGGCATACCTCAGTAGAATTGTCTCCTTGGTCTGTCATTGATGCTTTCTCTGTAAAGTCATCACACAAAATAGGAAGACATGAATTTTCTTGTAGCTGTAAATAAAACACTTGAAAAGAACCTCTTGTGTTCAGATTTGATTTCTGATTTCATAAGGATCCTGGTAGAGACTTCTTCATAGGATATAGTAGCAGTGGTTTTCATGAATAGCTGTGGGTTGGTGAACTCTCTCTCTCAAATTTGTATCTTAAGCAACCTCTGTCTTTCTGAGGCTGAACCAAGCACATCCTTACTTTGATTTGAATTTTAGACAGGCTTAACAAGCCAGAATAAAGCAAAAATATATCCTTCAGAAATCAAAGCAGATAAAACTTTTGTTATCCTTTCCTTGCCAAAGACTTGAATGTGGATATTACTTGACTGATAAGAATGCTGATGCAGTTTTCCTCTTAAAAGTTTTGTCAGATTAGAGTCACACAAAACCATGTTTACCAGGCAAGTTATGCATCCAGAGTAACAGATGCATAAAGTCAAATGCTGCAAGTTCTGTCTCATATGTGGAGCTGAATTTGGAACAGTGGATGTGTGTGCTTGAACTGGAATACACACATAAATTAGAAAATTATAAAAGGGGGATTTTCAGAAAAGGAGTATGGAACACAGATGATATGAAGAGATAAAGCAAAACAATGACATGGTAAGGATTAAAAGGGTAGAGCAGGGAGTATAATGAGATTTAGCTAACAATACAGATCATTGAAGAAGTCATATAGAAACCACTACTGTAGAAGTGTCCTAAAATATATATGTGTACATAAATATAAATGAAAAGAGTTAAAATGGAGCTGCACTATACTGGAGTAGAGGGAACAGTGTCTGTGGATTACCTGTTTTTTTTTAACTATTGCCTAGTATGGTCCTATAGACTCCAGCAAACATTATGTGCTGTTTCCATTGCTCTTGGTTACCCTCCAGAATTTGATGGTAAGACCATATTGCTGGTTACACCACATATTTTGAGTCATTGAGCAAGGATGCAACTACTCAAGAATCTGACTCAGATGTGAATTCTGCAAGCTACAAAAACGAGTTGACTGGCAAGATACGACATCTGGTAAACTAGTGGCATGAACGCTATGGGAGTAGGCAATCACTTCCTGTTTGACTTTAAAGCCCAGTCTACAAGACAGAGCTCAGGCCTGATTATGCTAGCTACCAAAATCCTGTGATTGGCTGGGCCATGGGCCCTAGAGTGGAACTTAATACTATTATTCCACTAAAGGGAAACAGACTAAACTGCCCTCTAAGTTCTTATTTTCATACCCACAGATAAGTATATCTCCCAACCCTCATCAGAGAAGCTTCCTTTCTCAGAAGATAGCAATTAATACAGAGACCCACAACCACAACTGGTCGATATGTAGTAAATACGAGACTGTGAAATGCTCAACACACAACTTTACTACTCTCCCCTCAAGGCTCAGAGATCATTGCAGAAGATGGTACAGAGAGATTATAAGATTCAGAGATAGTGGATGTGTGCGATGAACTATTATTTACTGCACATGATATGGCTTTCACACATGAATTTCTGTTGGCTGTGACTGCATTCATAAGATACACATAAGATCCAGACAGGTAAATTCCAAGCATAGATTTGGGGTACATGAAGATTCACCCTTAGTTGAGGAACAATTGATAATTGATGGTTGCTTGGAGAATGAAGAGTAAATTTTCCTCAGGGGTATGGCCCCTGAAAGGTTACCAGTGATCCCATCAGATGCTTTACACACATAGGCATACAAGTAATACTGAGTGCATGTGTATGTGCATGTGTGTGAGGAAAGATAGAGATAGATAGATGATAGATACATAGATTGGGCATGTGAAGTTGAAAATGATATAGGGGACTAGAGAGGGAATGGGAAGAGTGGGAATGAGGGTTGGATTTGAACAAAACACTTATAAAACTTTTGATAAAAAGAAAAACATTTTCTTTTTTTAATGATTACAATAGACATTTATTTAAAGCGAAGCATCTGCAGAGCTAATAGCTCTTAGGCTGTGATTCAGGTTGATACAACTTCTTAAAATATGCTGAGACAACACACACCCACAGATCCCAACTACAAGATTACTTCTTTGCCCATTCTTCTTTCTCTTTCCTTTCCTGAGTAACCTCTTTGAGACAATTTGTCCTACTCATGTTTTGTCCACTGCTCTTTAGGCAAGATCTGATGCCTCATGGTCAGGTCCAGGGCTCTCTTAATTCGAAACATTCTCTCATTATAAAGATTCTCAGGAAGCCTTCTTATGGCTTCCTTCACATCTTCAGTCTCATACATTGTATCATCTTTTATTAAATCCAGCTTGTTGTATCCTGCAGCGTTATAATACCATTTTTGAAAACCATCCAGCCACTTGCTTGATGCTGCAGCATCTTGACCTGAGAGTGATGCACTGCCTCCTGGGTAAGTCCTAGAGGACACACTAGAAGAAAACCATTTTCTGACAGTGGATTGAAAAAGTCCTTACAGATAAAAATTTCTGGTGAAATAATGTTCTTTGAAAACTTTAAATGAGTGCAAATGATGAAGCTGGTAAAATGATCCTGTAGAATTAAAATAATGAGCATGAATTAAAGGCTTACCCATCTCAAAATCCTTTAAAAGAAACCCTTAGAGATAGCCTCTTTTCTTGGAATATATTGGTTGATAGATGCTCGGCATGGCTTGCTCAGTTGATGCCAGTTCCTAAATCTGCAAGTCTAGGCTGCAGAGACTGCAGCAAAGCTGCTGTGGAGGGCACACCTTCATCTCAAGAAAATAACCTGAGAAAAGGGTTCCTGCGAAAGAAGGGCACCCATGCTATGGGCAGGACTTGAATACGCCCCTGGAAGTGTAATGTGAGGTTTCCATGGCTCGACTAGGGTTCCACCACCCTTCTCTGCCCTAAATGAACACGCAGATGCTATATTAATTAAATCTGTTGTTTGGTAACTTAGGCTTCTTATTGGTTAGCTCTGTCTTAATTATAAACCCATTTTTATAAACCTAAGTATTTCCATGTGGTCTTCCCGGGACTTGTTACTCCTCTGGTGTCCTACATCTTGACTGTTCAGTATCTCCGTAGAGAAGAAAAGAGAGCAATTTCTTGTTTGTCCCTGCTTATATACTGATTCTTCCCAGTTACAGCACTTCTGGGGTCACATGACGACTCCTCTCTGCCTATACTTCCCAGAATCCTCCTTGTCTCCTACTCCTACCTATCATCCTGCCTGGACAATCAATGTTTTATCCACCAACCAATAAGATAAACATTTACACAAAAGAACAATCCCCATCATCTCCTCTTTTCTGTCTAAATAAAATTAAGGGTTTTAACTTTAACATAGTAAAATTACATATAACAAAACAGTTATCAAGTACGAACTATAGTTACAATATTTAATTCATTACATTTAGCATGATTTATACAAAATATATTATCATCTATCCTATCTTTGTGAGTCTATAGTCATATATAGCTTATATTTTATCATAAATAAGGAAAACTATAAGCAGAATCATGTCTTCAACTCCATCAAAAACCACAGAAGGATAATATATAAACACTAAAATGGACAGAGACATCTTGCTACCTGGACAGTCATCCGAAGTTCTTTTGTAATGTTGGGGCATCTTCAAAACATAGGCCATATTGTGTCTGGCAGACTTCTCAGCAAAGCAGGAAATTTTAAACTGTCTGCCTGCATTGGCAGTTTGTCAGTCATTTTTCTCTGTGTCCTGCAGAGTGTCTGGCAGACTCTTCCATGAAGCAGGAACCCTTTAGAACTTTCTCATCAAGTTCAGCAGTCACTTTCCTGTGGGTCCTGCATGGCCAGTTTATCAAACAGTCCAGGCAAGAGCAGTTTCTTGGCCAAATGGCTAATCTTGCCATGTTGAAGGCAAACTCCATATTGAGTTTCTTTGATGCCCATCTTCCTTTCTGACATAATTGGTGTTGCCAGGAGCAATTGTGTCTCACTGTTAAGAAAAACCCTAAATCATTTTGAATACCATATTTTGTAGTTCTTTGGAAGGTTTGAAGAATATCTATCCATCTCAAATACATCTCTGTATATCTAGAAAACTAATTATACTATAACTATACTAACATAACTAACTAACATAGCTATAAGTTTTGACTATTATAGGTAACTATCTAGAATCTGTACTTAATTATAAATTGCATTTTTAAATGAACTATATAAGCACAAAACCTAAACAAGAGGAGAAATATACATATCACAAATTTGACCTAAAATTTGTATCAATACACCAAAATCCATATCGATGTGAAGTATTCATTTCTATCTCATATCCCCCCTTTTTAAAAAAATAAATTGACTATGATCATTAACCATTTATTACCAACCCTGTATAAATGAAAACAAACATTTATAAACAATATTTGGGATTTTGGGCGTCATTCTCTCCAAACTACTTCCTGCTGTAAGGGGGCATTAAAATATCATGGGATCATTTGAAAACAGAAACCTGGCCAAATATTTGTAGTCTGTAAGGCTGTCTGGATGCTGGATCAGTTGGACCACTGCTTATGGGAGTCTTGCTTGATCAAACCTTACTGGAACTTTGGGCTTTAGCAAAAGCATGTAGTGCCCTTCACTACAGAGCCAGCTCAACCACTGAGTCACCCTTGCAATCTCCCATTCCTGCTCTTTCTAGTATTATGAACCACAGGATTCATAACTTACAGACTTCAAGAGTCTGGGGATATGCAGAAGACATGGAATTTTCTAGCTAGAATTCTTGTCTTCAATGGAGAAGAGTGCTCCAGGAAGCAGTGAGGTAGAGTCTTTGAGAATCCATGCTGAATTTTTATGTGTCTGACACAAAAAGAAGGAATAAAAACCAAACTTTCACTATTAATTACCTTAGTCTCAAGCATCCTTTCCAAAGTCCTCAAAATTTTAAAAAGTCACATATTTGTAAAGAGTTAGTCAGTTGATATTGGATGTAACTTACTTGTGGTATATAGGTGATATTTAAGTATGGAGTTTATATATGATGCTGTAGAGATGCATGCAGTCCTTGCCTTGTCTGTCAATACTTGCTTTGATTTAAGTATTTGTAAGAAATGTTCATTTAATTAAGATGATCCTTTTGTTGGAAAATGATCTCCAACTATCTGTATTCTACTTGGTTCTTATTTATCACTTCTTTCTAAAACTCTTCTCTGTTACTAATCACTAAGCCCCTACTCTGTGTATGTTTGTTTTCACATATAGTATATGAATAAGGGTGTACATGTGTGCTGATGCATATGTAAGTCTGCACATGTGCAGAGGTTAGAGGTCAATGTACAATGTCTTCCTCTCACGTTCTCCACCTTACTCTTTTGAGTCAAGATCTTTCAGTGTATCTGGAACTCACTCATTTGGGTAACTGGCTAGCCAGAAACCCCTTAGGACTCTACTCTCTACACACCAGCACTAGAATTGAAGGCACATGCCATGATGATTCCCAGCTCATTATGTAGGTGCTGGTGGTCAGAGCCTCATGCCTGCATGTCAAGAGCATTGCCCATTGAGGCATCTTCCTAGCTCTTGTCTTCTGTATTTAATGGGAACCCTACATTGTTCCTATATTGCCATGTTTAATTTGCATTAACAACCCTAGGTGGTGGGTTGCATTAATTCATTTTAGAAGTGAATTCAGAAAAACTTTGGGAGCTTAAAAACAACTCACGAGAAAAGATGGGTAGCTAGCAAGCTGCAGCATGAGGTTTGGAACCAAGGCTTGAGGAACTTGGCCACTTGTGTCCTCTGACAATATTTTTTGTTCTGCCTCCATTTCCATCTGGTGCCAACAACCAGATGGAAAAGGAGACAACACATAGTGTGCCCTTAGCTAACATACAGCAGCCACAGCAGGGTTTCTGCATGTCTTTTTACCTGACATTTTCTCCCCTTGTCTCTTAGCCATAGCATTTGTCACATATCTGTGAAGCAGGAATTTCATGACATGATAGAATGATGTAACAGAGTACCCACCCTCCATGTATGAGACAAGTAACTGTACATAGACATATCATCTTTACAGGAGAAAGAAAAGTTTGTATGTTGTATTTTATATATAACCATGTCATTGTGGGCATGTTCATATACATGAATTATATTCTCTTTTTGAAAATTTCATACATGTATACAAGGTGCTGTGGTCATATTCACCCCCATTACCATCTCTTATTATTCTCATACTACCGATAACCTCTTTCTTCCTAACTGGTCTTCATACTTCATACTTTCTGTGTATGTGTATGTGTGTGTGTGTGTGTGTGTGTGTGTGTGTATGAGTATGTGTATATGTTGTGTCTCTGTGTGTGTGTGTGTGTGTTGTGCCCCTCTGTGTGTGTGTATGTGTATGTGTTTGTGTATGTATATCTGTGTATGCCTGTGATTAACCCCATTTAAATAGGGTTGTTTGTATGAACACAGATGGGAGATTTTGTACTGCAGCATCAGCAACTTGCCAGTGTTTACATCACTCAAGAAATTGCTTCCTGTTCCCTTAGAAAATATTAACTGCCAATAGCTCCTCAGGGACAGATGGGGTCTCATGTCCCCTCATAATCCAAAGGCCATGCCACACCCTGAACACAGTGTTACATGGTACTCTGCCTCCACCTGCTGCAGTGTTCCATGATATGATACAGGCTATCAATGAGAGGGAAGATAAGTATTTTAACTGCTATCAAAATGCACAAAATGTTGCTTGTGTTACAAACTTGACTTTGTCTATTTTACATCATACCTAGAAAGCAATTATGATGGACATTCTATAACTTCTCCAATTAATAGAGTTAATATGAAGCAAGGGCAGCCTTAGAGTTCATTGCTCTATCAACTCTCAAATATCTCCTTTCCCCTATATTTTTCTGACTGTCAGAAAAGGAGAGGTGTTTAATGAAGTAGAGGTATTGCAGTCAGATGAGGTGGGCTTGATGGTATGTGATATTTTCCCCAATCATTGTATGCAATGACTGCAGCAGTGTTCTTAATGGATAAGTTATATAAACAACCTAGGTGCCAGGCAGCTAAGAATGTATAACAAAATGTGCTGTGGGGGGATGTTTTTTAGGCAGAAAAAAATGAAACTCTGTAATTTGCAGGGGAAGGGACGAAGAGGAAGCTAGTGAATGTTGGGACTATACACAAAGTACATTATATATATGCATGAAACCCCATTTTAAAAAGTAGAACCCAGGTATCCTAAAGCCAAGATCTTCAGCTCTTCTCTTGTCTAACTTCTTAATTCTAATTTGTTTCTTCTCATTAGGACATGAGATCTATTTGGAAGGCAACTGAGGTCATGAGTATATACCACCAATGTACTGTCATGAGTACCTTTTAGATGGAATCCTTACTCCTTCAGTACTGGATCTCTGGTGCTAGCAAGAGGCTAGGCACAAACTAGAGGATGTGTAGATAGATTCATTGAGACAAGTATCTAAGCAATGATCAAAAGAATGTATGAAAAATAGTCACCATCCAGACCAGAGGTTATGCCAAATGGCTGTGAGTGCATTAATATGAATGCTAATCATGATGAAACTAAAATTGGAAAAATTTCCAAAGACTTTAGTGTCATAGCCTGGAAACAACAAAGCAGGCTGCCAGCCGTGAGTGGAGAAGGTGCTCGCCAGCAAGATAAATAGCAACCTCTTTATCCCACCCTTGCTTTGGGCTACTATGTGAAGCTATTCGTTCGTCACTTTTAGGAGATGATTCATGCTTGCACTAAGGATATCCTGTTTTGTTCGGAACCTGGACTGGGGGTGCATTTGTCATCTCTAGAGTGGCAGAAAGTTTCCAGTACCACCTCAGAATGGCACGTTGCTTGCTGCCTCATCCGTCTATTTAGTATTTCCAGACAATCACGGTACAGTACAAAACAATTTGTTTTCATATCATTTCCTTCATGCTTGCAAACACAACATGCATCACAGGGAAAGCCAATCATGAGCTAAAGAGGTAAGGGGATGATTTAATGCAGGAGACTGGTTCATTTGCTTTGGGGGATGAGAAACAATTATTCCAATAGGCCGGAGCTTAGGCAGAAAACCTAGTGAATGAGAGAGTGTGTGGTGGTCCACTGCTTTGCATAAGTGAGCTGTGAATGCTTCTAAGGTGACAAAGCCACAATTGGCCTATCTAAGTCTGAGAGCTGTGTTTCAATTTTTTCCCGATTCTCCAAAATACCCCAACCCTAGTTTGGAACAATAGAAATGATAGGTTTTTCTCCCAAGCAGCTTATTTTTGGAGGAAACCTTTCCTTGCCTTTCTTGATACACATTTTTTGTACTCCCTTTGTATCTTGAGGACAAATAACCCTTGGTCTTAATTCATCCCAGTAATAAGCTGTGAATTGATAAAGATGATTTTGAAGGACCCGGTATTGAATTGGGGTTTGGATCTGGGGAGAAGCTTAACATATCAGGGTGACCTTAGGAAATTTTCTGGCCCTGAAGAACGAGGGGATGTGAGTATTTCAGCAGTCATGGCAAGAGTGGGTTCCAAGATGACTCCACAGTCCTTTAGAGCTGAAAGGGATGACACTTATGGCTGCTTGTATCCTGTGCTTTTCTTCTCTCTGTATTGTCACTTGGGAGGTTGGGTGTCAAAGCCATTGCTATAACAATTTAAATAGTATCAAGTGGCAAGCTTCATGGGCAGCAGTGAATATCCTGACACACTGGGAAGACAGTACCTCTATAGTCCTGTTACCAGTACACTCTTGACCTACCTTCATCCATCTTTTGCCCCTGAAGAGATGTTTGCCCAGGTTCCTTCTCACTTTCAATCTAGAGGAGTCCATATTCTGCAGACAAAATAGCTGAGGCCCAACACTCAAGGGAAAGAAGTTAATTTAACTCAGGATTTTGCAGACTATAAAGTACAAGTGATTACACTTGTTTGGCCTTTAGTGAGGGCTTTGTTAGCTGCATTACAGCCTGATGAGGAATCTGAGAGGGAAGAGGCTGTCTGTGGAAGGGTCTCACTATGGCAGATGGTTTTCATTGGTAATAGGACATTCCTTTAAAAAATTCATTTGTTTAGCAATTAATACATGTACACAATGAAATATGATCCCATCTACCCTTCATATCCTCCTTTCAACTCTTCCTGCATTCCCTAAACATATAACCCTGCCAACTTAATGTTTCATGTCATCTTGTCATTCTCTCTCTCTCTCTCTCTCTCTCTCTCTCTCTCTCTCTCTCTCTCTCTCTGTATGCCTCTCTCAAGAACACTAAGTCCATTTATAGTACCCCATACCCATATGTGCATTGATGTTGGACTATCCACTGTAGTATTGACAGCCTATCAGTGGCCACACCCCCAAGGAAGAATAATTTTTCCTCCCTAATCTCCCCAGTTAGGGGTGGGGCCTCCTGAGTTCTTCCTCCAGCCACATCTTAGCAGCATATCTTCAAAGTTAACTCTCTCTGGAGACCAGCATGACTTCTTGGTCTGACCACTTCCCATAAGGATCTCCTTTTGATAGTCCTTCCATTCCTGGGCAAGCTCCAACATGTGAGTTTTTGTCCACACTTCTGAAGCAGATATTTTTCTCACAGTTGGTTCCTTATGAACATTCAAACATCAACCAAAACTCATCTAAGAGGCATTTGGGCTCTGCCAGTCTCCTCCATCACCATCCTTGGGGAGACCAGTCTTATCCCTCACCCTTTTCCTCTGCATTTCTTCTCTAGTCATGCCCCATTGTCCCTCTTCTAATCTGAGTCTGCTCAAGTCTTTTCCCACAGTATACAAACAATGCTCCAGACTGAAAGGTTGATCAGGTAAACAGCCTATGATGCCAGGGTCATTGCCCTTAAAAGATCAGGACCAAATTCTCCCTCCATATGATTTCACAAGCCTCTTTCCACTCTTTCCAGATCTTGCAGCTGAGCCTGCACCCTTCGGCTCCTTGTCCTGTATTCCCAATATGTACATCTTCCTTCAGTACCCTGGGATCCCGATGTGTCTTTCCTTCCTCTTTGTCCTTTGCAAAGGCTGTCCCTGTATCCAAAACATCCACCTTCCTCTGGCCCGGTGTCTGAAACGGTGTCTCTGTAACCTGGTAGTGTACATGTAGTGTTCAACAAAGTGCTTGATGTGTAGAAAGCATCCATTAACTGCATGAACAAATGAAATGAGTGTTCTGGGGGAGCCATCCTCTTGACAATGTGTTGTTCATATATGGATGCCTAGGTACCCTGCAGAGTACAGTAGGACATCCAAAGGGGGAAAAAGAAAGCAGTCTCATGGAGGAAGATCCTTACAAACATATCTTTAGAAAGAAACTGGGCACCACACCATCAGACATAAATTAAGTGAAAAACACACATCTTCGATGAGATGGGGAAATGTCATTTTACCCTGTGGTCTTCCTCTCATGCCTTTTACCTCCTTATACTCAAGAAAAAGGGACCGAATAATCCCAAATCAAGGGGCATTGTGGGAAACACCTGAGCGGTGTCTTTGGAGCCTCTAAGGTCTTCAAAAATAGGGAAAATGAAGGAAGTTGTTATATATACCTAGTATCAGCTTAAGGAACAGTGGCAACTAAAGATGCTATTACTGTGGTACCTCAAATGAAATCCTGTATCAGTCAAGAATGCAAGGTGAGTACCAAGGGCATCATTTTGAGTGAAGACTCAATTAACCACAGTAAGACAATATATCTTTATTAAACTGATGAATGTATCCTGAAAACACAGAATGTTTGTTAATACTAAGGGAATGAAGGGCTGAGAAGATGACCTGGTGGATAAAGTGCTTACTGGGCAAAGATGAGCATTACAGTTTAGATCCCCAGAACCCAGGTGATGCTGGGCAGGAGAGTCAGTGTCTGTAATCCCACTATTCCTGCAATTCAATGTGACAGAAGAACCCCCAGCCGTACGTGGGTCACCATGTGTGCTGTGGCAAAAATAGCAAGACCCTGTCTCAAAAAATGTAAAATATAAAGAACCAACATCTGAGGTTGTCTTATTATTTCCACACATGCTGTGCCCTGACACATCACACATCATACACACACACACACACACACACACACACACACACAATGTACGTGGTAACCAAGTATAAGGGGTGTGCAAATTTGTTCTCTGTTAGCAGTTTTCTGTGTATATAAAAGTATCCTTAAAAAACACTGAAGTATGTGAGAGGAAACTAAAACCATGAGCAAGTGCTTCTCTCCCAGTCCAGTAATAAGTCTTCTTTCTCAGTGCCCGCAGCCAAGACTAAACTGTGATTCTGCCCTTTCACACAAGGGACCTCTCCTTGGAGCAGTATTCTGTGGCTAGTGGCAGCACTACACACCCCACTCCATTCCCTCATGTCTTGCAGGAGGATTTTATTTCCTTAACTTCCAGAGGCACTCAGCTGCCAACCAGGGGTGACTAGCTGCATGCCTCTCGCGCTATTGCTCGACACACTGGGAGAAAATGAGCTTTCTTGCCAGAGTCTGGGTCCCTGAGCAAATAAACAGAGATGAAAAATGGCGCACCGGGATGGTGAGGATCAGGGAAGGAGGGGAGGTGGGTGGTTGAGAAGCTGTGGTCCTCTCAGCTCAGAGTCCTGAGTAGGAATCCTACCACACTTGTGCCCGCTTGCTGTCTTCTTCTGCCCATACCCACCCAGCTCAGGGTGAAGGGGCTGGAACTACCACAGACCTGGACACTTCCTAAAACGAAGAGTTCTTTAATGTCAGCATTGCACCTGGGCTGGGGGCCTGCACAGAGCACTCTATATGGACTACTTTTCTGTTTGCTGTGACCTGAAAGCCTAACAAAAATGCAACTGAAGGAAAAAAGGGAGGTTGTTTGGGCACGCAATTGGAGGGTACAGTCAGTCGTTGTAGAGAAGGCAGGCTGACAGGAGCTTGCGGCAGCTGGTCACATTGCCTCCTCAACCTGGGAACAGAGAGTGATGACGCCCCTGTTTAGCTCACTTTCTCCTTTGACAATTTATTTCATTATAATTTTGTATGTGCCATGTAACTCTTTGTAGGAGTACATACATGAGTACAGAGGCCTTGGTCAGGTCTTTTGGAGTTAGCATTAGAGGAGACTAAGAACCCACCCACTAATTCTGAGTACCAGGAACTCAACTAGGGTCCTCTGCAGCTTCACTTCCTCCCTTTGGTTCAGTCTGGGACGTCAGCTCGTGGAAAACACTGCAGATGCTCACAAGGGTGCTCTTCTCATTTCAGTTCATCTCTCACGGGTGCCCATAGGCTGGTTTCTTCACTCAGTCTAGACCCTGCCTGGTTGACAATCACCGTTAACTGTCACTCTCTGTCTGTTGCTGCTTGTCGACTCTGTCCTGTCTGGACGCTGCACACACTTCTGAGCTCAAATCAATGAAGCCCAAAGACCTTTTCAGATCACATTAGTGATTTGATATAAATCTGAGGATTCCTCTTTGGAGATTACTCAGGCCATTTTGAAGAGTGAAAGGATGAGGCAAAGGCCCTAGGGTAGCCCAGTTTTAGCCCTAGCTAGGTAGCCTGGGTGACCCCATTTATCGTCTATGAACCCCAGCTTCTTTAGACACATAATAAGAAGCCTCAGGACCTGCTTCTTAAGACTGTGTGAGTATAAGGAATGCCAGCCTGTGCACAGGCCTTTGACAGCGCCAAGCATCTTGTAATTTTCCTATAAATGTGAGCACTTCAAAATCAATTGTGTGTCCTTTAAAATGTTAAGCACTAACATTTCCCATTTCATCTTACTTGGGTGGATGTGAGGAGGTGGAGAGATGTTGACAGGCCTTGTCTTATCTTAGAAAAAGATTAGAAATTGCCTGTCTTGATATGATTTCGATGGAGGAGACCTAAATTTGTTTGGATTAATAATTCACTAATCAATCTCATAGGTTGAGATCAAGTGAAGAAGTCTCATTCTCCCCCACTGTTAATAATTCAAATAGATTGCATTTATTGAGCAATTGGTGTATGCCAAACTCAGTGCAAAGTGCACTGGCTGGTTTTCTATAAAGTTCCTGACATAAGAGTTCATCCTACAATTCATGTCACTTAACATCCAGGATGTTAAAGAACTATTCTAGTTTCATACTATTGTTGGGTTTAAACACCCTGACATAGGGGAAGAAAGGATTGATTTTAGCTCATAATTGCACATTATGGTGATTCACTTCAGAGAAGTCAGGGCAGGAACTCAAGCATTGAGCCACACTGTATCTACAGACAGGAGCAGAGACACAAACATCAATGCTACTTGTCCTTTCCTCCCCCCCACCCCAGGACCAAACCTAGGGATGGTGCTGCCTACAATGAATCTAGTAAATTAACAAACAAGACAGTCCTCCACACATATTCTCACAGAAAAATATGATCTAGGTAGTTCCTAATCTGAAACTCTCATTCCCATCGACTTTAGTTGTGGCAAACTGGCATTTAAAAACTAACCAGCAGGTGATTATTTCAATATTGCAAGGTTAATAAAGTGGGTATCTGGGACTCATAAATGGTTTATAGGTTTCATAAGTGGTCCGAAGGTTCCACACCTACTGATTTTATTTGTTCAATAATCTATAGTCTATTTGTTCAAAATATCCCTGATCTCCCTGTTTTTTATTTGGAGAGGAAAGCCAGTGAGGATTCTGAAGGCCCTCTTGAAGTCTCTTTTCTCTCCACTTATCTCAATACTCTGCCAGGGTCTGTAGAGGGCAGTGCTTGGCCCTCAGGGATTGGGTGTGAAGAGCAAATGCTCAGCATGTT